CGCGATTCATAAACAGGTTTAACCTGACAACGCATCGCAGAGAACTAATTACACATAACCAAAACCATTGTTGTTCCTTTGAAACATGTACTACTAATCTTGTTTTGCTCCAGTGCCCTGTCAGCGTGTTAATGCAATATGCTTGCAAATTAAAGCAATGTGCTGCAATACCAAGAATTAAGATCGTAATTTCAAAAATGAGCCAGTCACGCGACCGGAAGTTTTGCCGCCAGTAAAGCAGTGGGGGGTGTTTACTGTTCCATCTTGGGGACAAGATCGTTCGTCGTTTTCGTCGTAACGAAATCCTATTTATACGCACCTCGCAGCATTTTAAATGCCAGGAAAAAGGCGAAAGACGAATATTCACGGAGTATCTGTTTCTCCGCTTTTAGAGAAGCCCTGTGATATTGCAGTGGATTATAATCTATTCTGGATTATATATCGATTTCTGCTCAAGCACAGTAAGAAACGATGAAGGGCATCTTCAGTGGGAATATTAGTATTTGCAAGTTTCAGCTTGTGTTTAAATACCCAACAAAAAGGTGATTATGTGAAAAAAAAAATTCACAGGTATGCACAATCTCCATAACTGCTTACCAACTGATAAAGATATAAAATCACATTACAAAAGAAGACTCGTGTTTTTGTAAAACACTGATATCTGCGGGCAGAATTTGCATATTCAAAAAGGCAACCAGCCAAACTAGCAGTTATTTAAATGTGTACAATTGACTGTGTTGAACAAGGAATCAGTGGCAGAGTGACAGGACAGAAAGGGCAGGCAGTGGCCTGGGGACCCGAGCTGGGAGGGGCTCCCTGAGGGCCGCTGATTATATAGTATACATTGCAGCAACAAATTTGCTTTGTTTGTGTATTCTGTTTTTCACAAAAGTGAAAATAATGGTGTTGTGTTTATTAAATTCTCTTTGTTGATAATATTAATTTACACTTCACAGTAAAATAAAAGTAATACATTTTACCTTGCCGGGGGAGGGGGAACTGGAGGGCACCCAGAGTCACTAGAATCACCTCTGCAAGGAATACATGATTAAAGGGGGAAAAAACATGACTTCATAATTCAAACAGATAGGCCTAGTGGGACATTAGATAATTAATTTAAAAACGACACCTTCCTGATCTGATCTTCTCATCTCCTGCCTGCCAATTTCTACTCTTATCAAAGCCAACAGCACTTTAATTGCATGCTAAGTCTCATTAAAATTAAAACAGGGCTTTATTGCAGCAGGCTCCTGTTTTATCATTGGATACAAGTCCCTTTACAGAGTAAAGTATTACTTTGTGTAATTACTTTTTAAATGAGATTAAACTCCTTCCTTCCCAGATGTTTCAAAAGCTAAATACATAGCTAGCTAGCTGAGTCCTAAGATTGTAAATAGTTAGCTGGGTATTAGAGTATGCTGCTTCAGTGTCTCATAACATGCTTATTTAATATTTAGTGTAGTGCCTGTTTGCCCCAGGCCAGTGCCACTGGATTCACCCACATGAACCCACTGGATGAACCCACAGGAACCCACTGGATTCACCCACAGGAACCCACTGGATGACGCGATTAAACACCTCAGCTGCACGCAGCTGTGTGCCAGTGTTCCTTCTTCGTTGTATTAATTTCAGTTATAAGAATTCCCCCCTGGGGCCAAAGAAGTTCACCTTCTCTTAAATGCTGAACAATCTAAAATGAGAATAACTGGTGCCTAGTTGCTTTTAATCTTCCCCACCAGCACGGATGTCCGTCTGGAAAGCTTCTGAAGAACATTTTTAGCACATGATACCAACAGGAGATCATAACTGCAGGAATGCAGACATTATGACGTTTACATGAATGCTCAGTGGAGGGCACTGTGGCCACATACCTCTAGGGTTGGGGGTTCGAATGCTCTCCCCAGGTTTCCTCTCAGTCCAAAAATAGCAAGGGGGGTGGGGGCTTTAATTCCAGCTGGAATATACTGGCTATCGCTGCCTCCTGGTGGCCTCTTGTGAAGCCTGCAGAGATTGATACTCTGTCCTCAGACTGATGCAGGAGAGGTGTGAGGTGTAGAAGAGCTCAAAGTGGGGGGCAGGTTGGCTTGGTGTGGGTTTACTGGAGAATTCACTGTATTTACTGTGTACCTGCCTTCAGGTCATCTACTGGGAATGAAGCTAATGCGAGATCGGTTACTCTAAAGTAAACATAAACAGAACTGTTTTGGATCCAGCCACTGGCTGAATGTGTGGGCTGTGGTGACAGTCGTGTTTAAAATATGGGTGCCGCGTGGGGTGACTTTGGCAAACTATGCAGGGGGACGAGCAAGTCCCTGTCACCGTCACGCCTCAGCGAGCCAGCTACCAGAGGAGAATGGTTCTGGGGGAATTACGATCGGGTCTGACGGACTGTCACCCACAACGATACAGTGACCCTATGGCACAGAGCTCTACTGAATCACGCTGACTTCTGGTGGAGGACTGACTGAAGGCTACGTAAAGGTCATGCAGTGCGGTACGAAACAATAAAAGCCTCAGCCTTGTCACATCTGGGAGGCCATGATTGTGCTATAATTCAAGAGCCCTGCAGTACCACCAAGATCACTTGCCTCTGTAGCACCCAACAATGCCCCCTTTGGGTGACTTTAGGGCAACCCACTGGTCCCGTCCCAGAGGGATGTCCAATCCAGTTGGTGTTATGGTGTGTAAGCACACAAACCTTGAGCAGAAAAAAGGTGCATCTCGCACACTCCTGCTAAAAATCCAGCGATGGAGAGGGAGGGACGATGGAGGGGGGAGAAACAGAGACATGGAGAGAGGGATGTAGGGGAGGGAGAGTGACAGAGAGGGATGGAGGAATGAGTGGAGAAGGGGGTTCGAGAGGGAGATGTAGAGGAGATGGAGGGATGGATAGAGAGAGAAATGGAGAAAGTAGACAATGGAGGGGGAGAGGGATGGAGAGATAAGGGAGCAGGTGGGAGTGAAAGAGGGATGGAGTGGGAGAGGCACAGGGAGAGGGATAGAAAGAGGGAGGGAGTGACAGAGACATGGAGAGAGGGATGGAGAGGGGGGTGGAGAGAGGGGAGGCAGCAGGACCCATCTTGAGCATTTACATTTCAAAGATGATCAGAGGAAAAATGGTTTGTTTTGGAAGAAAATCTCCGTAAGAAGAAAGTCTTCAGAAGAAGTGGATCCTGCTGAGTTCTGAAAGCACAGACATATTTCTGAGAAAATGCATCATTATCAATTTTCTGTTTTAACCGCAGTACATTTTTCATTTAAAAACATTATGGAGACACAAGTGAAATGCTTAGTGCTGATGTTCTGGAAAATAAAGGATACATTTTCTATTCTGAAAGTAAACGAAAAATATTTTGATCTACATACCTAAGAATTAAATCTTCTATCGATATAACAGCCAAACTGTTTAGCATGCGAGACGCATTGTGTGGCTCAGCGGGTTAGTTTGCCGTGTCTGAGCAGAAGGTCACCGCTCCAAATCCCAGCGTTAGCATGCGTGGCTTCACTACCGGGCCCTAGAACGACGCCCGTAACCCCCAAGTGGGGTAGGAACCGTCTGGCCAAGTCAACTCAAAGCATCTCCTGAATAAATAAAACGCAATGAGAAAGTGCAGCAGGCTGCTTTTAATTATTAACTGGAAGTTTAACAGAAACACGCAAAATACCTCCCTGTCCTCAAACAGAGGGAACAGAACCGCTGCACCCCGACGCCCTCGGGAGTAACACACAGCCTCCTCCATTCGTACAGCCAGGTAATAAATCACAAGTGAGGAGGGGGGCTTGCCCCTCCCCCCAAATCATCCCCACTATCCCCACCTTCCCAACCACAGCTTTGCCTAGAATTGCTATAAAGTCGTGTAACATTTATCATTATTCTCTGGGCATCACAAAAACAGGACAGAGTAGCATTCTGAAAGGGCACCCAGTTCCGTTCCATATTCACCCCCCCTAACAGCTATCCGGACGTGGCCAGACACGGCCACACCTGACTGGGCCTGAGCCAAGTGCGACTGGACACACTGGGAAAGAGTAGGCGCACCTGTAAGCAGATAATCAGCTCTTCTGTTGAATTTAGAACCAAAACACAAGCGATTTCAGACAAACATACAACATACTTATATAAACACAGTAATCAGACACACGCTGGGGGGGTTGGGGGGGAGGTGCCTGGCCCTTTTACGTGAACAACTGAAGTACCTCTTTTGAGGTCCTCAGTACCCATGTTCGATTTCCAACAATCACTAAATCAGCAAACTGCAACCCAGTCAGCAAAATTTACCACACCCCCCCCCCTCCCCGTCCATTGAGATCCTGCCCCTTGAAAAGACTCTGCACAGCCCTGATAGTTATTACGCCCCCAAAACGGCTTAACGCATTTCCCATAAGAAAGTCAGAGGGTTTTACACTGGGAGGTGTCTCTCCTGGATTTGGATGGAGCTGCGGGATTTCTGTGCCAATGAGGACAGCGGCTGACAGCTCCTACATACCACACCGCCAGGACCAGGCTGCCAGGAGAGGAGATGTTTCTACAGCTAGGGTGATCGCACGGCTTCTCACCTTCGCACGAACATCACTCATCTCCACCACACTGATGACGGAGGGATGGAATAATGTTCTCTCTGTACTTACCCTCGTGTGTTAATGGAGGATGCAGCATCTTCGAAACCTTGATTTTGCTCCTTTACACACAAGCGCACACACACACGGATTCACCACAGCTTTGACGGCCGCAGAAAGCTTGAATCCACCTCTGTCCTGCTCGCTTTCATGTCACCCTTTGGGCGTCTTGGGACAAAGGGGGCACCTTACAGTTAATCAGGACCAGGAAGAAGCCGCCCAAGGAATGAGCTTAGCTTTCCGCAGCTAATAAGCTATCGAGCGACAAACAAAGTGAAGACAGACTTTGGACGGCAGTTGCTCTCACCTGGGAGAGGTACTGTAATAGGGGAACCTGTTAATCATTTGATATCACAAACAGGTTCTAACAATGTCTGGGGATTTTTTTTAACATTGTGATGAGCTTTAAAACCAAGGTGTTGGTCTAGTTTTATCACTAATACAAGAATTATGATTCCTTTCCAAACTGCATTATTAAAAACCTGTAGAAGTAGAATGACTGCAAACAAATTATAACAGTAACAAAATTAACAATGAATAGTCCCAAATGAAGATGGTATCAAACACTACATTATAATCAATGGCCCCATATCTTTCAGATACAAATGGGCCAGACAGTGAGAATCACTCCTTGCCCCCCCCCCCATTCTCTGAAGAAAATCTCGTTAGAGATTCATCAAGTCCATTTCCTGTCATCACGTGTCATTTGGAGATTCTATCACCGCTATGCTAATTGCCGAGCTGCTGTGGAATTCGCCTCGAGGGCCCGATGCTGGCGAAGCGAGGAGCCGCTGAATACCGTCACCTCTCAGAAACGCAGCGTGGGACGGCGATTAGGAACAGCTTCATTGTCGATAGGGTTTCTACCGGGAATCCATGACGTGAAGCTACTTTAAAAATCTCAAACTGCCAGCGTCACGCTTCCAGTCATTATTCCTCACGATAAACGCAGTCTCAGCACGTTACCCTGCTCTCTCAACACTGCACAAAACAAGCCGCCGATAAATTTGCAGGCAAACACAGCGACCTAACAAATAAAGACACACGATAGTACTTCAAATAGACCTCACACCTCTGTATATTCTTGCTGGTCTTCTCAAAACTACGTAGTCTTGTTTTTCAAAGTTCTGGTTCTTCCAAGTAAATGGGGTAGGGCCATGAACCAGTCCCAGCAAGTCCGGGACACATCTGAGTGCCTCTTTGGTCACAATTACTGAGCCACATAGCAAATCTCGAACAAAAGGAATAATCACATTTTCCAGGGCTCCGCCCAAGGTAACAACCCAGAATTCAAATAAAAAGTATCCAGGTAGAAATTGTTAAAGGTTGAATGATGCACATCTTTATGCGATTCCCTTCGTTGTACATTATACTCCCCAATATACGATTAATGGCATGTTATTACCAGTCTTTTATAGGTTGGTTGCTTCCCCGACAGAATCTTTATACTTGAAGATGGGTGTGTTTCCAGTTTAATCCTGAAGCCATGGACTCTGGGTCTAAGCATGTGTGTGTTTTACTGTGCACCTGTAAACCACCGCCCCGCCACCACCCCCCCACCTCAGAGACTTACGTAACACACACAAGACGAGAAAGGTCTCATCCAAAGCTGGAGGCAAAAACAAAAATAAAATAACAAGGGCTTCTTTATTTTTGTCTTTAATGGGGAGGACAAAGAAAGAACTGGAAAACCAGTGGGGGGAAAGAAATAAACTTAAACTTAAAACATTTAAGGCATGATACATTCTGTTGGTTTTGTGTTACTGTTCTCTCATAGCACAATGAATTTAACTAACGTACATAAACATCCCCTCAAATCTGTCACTCTTGTGTTTATGAGAAACAAAAAAAAAAAAACTTTACTTCAACAAACCTTAATGTAGCAGCCTCAAATCCCTTCTAGAAAGTTCTCTTGAGTGTGACTGCACATACATCGGTGTGTAAGGCTTCGGTTTTTACAAAGCTTTCGCACATTTCTGTTGTTTCACGACTAGAATGACCTCACCACGAGCACGGCACTTCTGGAAACACAGGGCATCAAGAAAAGAGAAGGAGAATGTCATCTGTGACTCGGATGACACATGGTCATGCTCGTGGCAGCTGGGAAGACAGACTGGGGGCTGTCCAATGTGAGAAGCTCCAGTCCAGACAGAACTCCCACACGCCTGAGGATCATGCAGGAATTTTAAGTTAAAAGCACGATCATGTGAGCCAAACGTCAATGAGCCTGTGACAGAGTGAGAGCTGCATGTCCCTGGGACCAGACTGAGAAGATAAACATGCTAGACTTCACTGGGAAAAAAAAATAATAATAGGAACTGCTATCGTCAGCTGAGCAGGGCTCTGTGGACCCCAGACATCAACTGATGAACTAATACCCCAATGCTGATTGGCTAACAATGGAAAAACACCGTAGGCCAATGAGGGCAAGGGTGACGGCTGCAAACTGGCAGCTGAATGGTCCAAGCGACCCATGCAGAATGAGCGAACGAGCGTCATCTTGGCTTAATAGAGAATGAAGACACTCGGACATGCGGTCCCATTTCGAGGCAGTAGGGGACACGGTTTGGTTAATGAAGCAAACGCTTTGCAGGCGACCCAGTCCACAACGAACCAAAACACAGAAACGTTAATATAACAGATAAATCACTTCATATGTAACGGAAACCTAAAAACAGCAAAATGAGGTTAAATTAAAAATTAAATAGTGACAGCAACATTTTTTAAAACTATATATAAATACAAGTTATAGCTGTGCCTTGACAGGGTTACTGAACAGCTTCAATATTTGTTCTAATACTCTAATATTGTTCTAGGATACAGTCTGTTACTCTACAGAGTACAGATACTCTAAGAACCAAGAGAGAAGCTAAGCATGCATTTTCAGAGGAACTCAGAGGCTCAGAAGCGCCCCCTAATGGCGGGGCCAGCTGAGCGGTTTTGCATTCGTCAAGCAAAGCCATTCAGCAGTGGCCCAGGTGCCCTCCCAGTCCTGGTCCGGTCCGGCCCGGCTCAGAGTTTGTGCAAGTGAGATGGCTCCAACCTTGGCCGCGGAAAGGGATTTGGGTTTTCCCAACAACAAACGTGGGTTACGGGCCGATTTCCAGGCAGCTGAGATCCCGAGGTCACAGTCACCGGGTCATGAAATCACTCCTCTGCAGCGACAGATCAGAGCCTGCAGTCAGTGCCACACACTACAGGCATCCAAGAGATGGTTTAATCCAGTGCAACAGATACAGACTCTTCATAAGACATGCATATGCAGGCTGGACCTTAACACATTAGGGGACGTCAAGGGAGCAAGCTGGCTTTTGTAGGCGAGTGTTAGCACAGCACAGAACGTGTGTATAAAACCTGGAAAAATGGTAACATGCTGCATAACGGCCAAGGGGCTGTCAATTCCGTCCCGACCTTGGTCTTCAGTCAAAGGTCAAACAGCATGATGTGAAACTACATCAGTCCTACTCTTGCAAAAAAATCCCCTGCTTTCTAGCCCCTGTAACTCTTCCGCTAGTCCACCTTTTAAGATATGGCTTTGTTCAAGTTCGAAATCCTAGGAACCAAGAAGTATTTCGCCCCAGATCAAGACACAGCTCAGAACATAATAATGTCTGCGCACTCAGTCACTGGCCGCTCCACGCGAAATCCCAGATGCGACGGTGCATTCGGAGCCTCATCCTTTGATAGAGTACCAGCAATAAGACCTAAGCGATAACCTACAGCTGTTTCAGCTTCTGAAGACAAAGCGTGGGACTCCAGCCCCTGAGATCTGGTTTACTTTCATTCATGGGATGCTTCTTCAGGGCTCTCTCACGGAGATACGGCGGCGATGCGTGCAAAATTAACAAAATAGTGTCTCTGCCAGCGTGAGTTTTCTTCTTCTCTGATTGTTGGCTGTTTTTATTATGAATAGTATATGCAGGGGGAGGACAAAGTAATGAAAACACCACATGAAAAAAGACTGGGGGGGGGGGGACATGTGTGGCCCAGCGGGTTAGTTCTGTGCCAGTGAGCGTTAGGTCATTGGTTCAAATCCCAGAGCTGGCAGACTGATGCTGCAGTTAGACCCTTAACCCCCAGCTCCGGGGGCGCTGCCTGCTGGCTGACCCTGTGCTGCGACCCCCCCAAGCTCTCACCTGCATATATATATATATATCTCTCTCTCTCTCTCTCTCGGGGAGCAAGATGGGGTAGGTGAAAAGAGAATTTCTCCATGGGGATGAATGAAGCATCGCTGTTCTGTTCTATACTAAACACTGAAATAACCATATCTCAATATAAGGGTGGGGGAAATTACACTGAATACTGGGTAGTAGTGTGTGTCTGCCGTAAAACTGTGGGTGTAGGTTCAAGGTCCCTAAGAGGAAGAGAGGATGCTACACAGTGCATCAGTATGACCTCACAGGACCGGATCAGCACCACTGTGACCCAAAGGTGCAAAACCTGGACCCATAAGGAAACGGAAAAGGCGGGATTATCTGACAAGCCATCTCACGCACTTTTTTTCTCTTAAATAGCTTGGGGACGAGTAATGTGAGCAGCTACATCATGGCAGGAATGAGGTCCAGTCTATGCTCTGCATGGTCATGTAAGAATTTCCCTGCAGGATTAATAAAGTATCACAATTCTATTCTATTCTATTCTATTCTATTCTATTCTAAACAGCCATTTTAAAGGTACAGGAGGGTTCTAAACCCTCCACCCTAATAACGCTCCCATTCTCCTGTGACATTAACGCACTGTTCTTAAGCGTTTTCCTTATTTTGTCCGTCCCCTGCACATTCCGTGCTTATATAGTCTTCCGAAAGCATCTTTACGTTTTAATTTGACAAAGCTAAGCTGGGAAGTGCTGATGTCCGAGCCAGGCGGCCATAGGCTGTAAACCATTTCTGAAATATGTGGACATCATGCTTAGTGTTAAACACAAAGAGAATAAAGAACTCAAAGGCAGTGTTAGTGAGCAACCGAGTCTGCAGACCACTGCTCTGGCCTTATAGCATAAGGCAGAAAGCAGGATGGGCCATAAAAGGGGAATACGGAGTATACAGGCCATGAAATGGTTTACAGCCTCGAATAAGCTGCCGGGCAGAATCAGAGCCACTAGTGGCAAGGAGAAGTGGCACAATGGTTTGGGCACAGAGTCCCACTAGTAAGCGCAGAGGCCTGTCACCCCCTCAAGTACAGGAAGGTGGCAAGGGCCTTACGGGTCACACAGCGGCCTCTAGTGGTGGGGGGTATGAAATACAAGGGAGCCACATAGCTCAGATATTTGGGGGGGGAGTGTTTAATTCTGCTTAATTCTGCAAACATGTTGCAAATTTATTGGTCTCATAACAAAAGTCAATTGACAAGCGATGTTTAACATCTCCGCACAGACACTCTCTTTTTTTGTCATTTTTCTGACTGACTCATTCAGTTCTGTTCTTGCCATTTTGCTTAATTGCAGTTGTAGTCACTGGCTCCCAAAGGGAAACTAAACAGAAATATATGGTATTTTATGTCACTGCAAAGGTGTCACTAATTAAAAAGCACCCAGTGAGGATGCTTGTCAAGGAACTTTTTAACAGCTCTTTTAAAACTATAATTCATTTCAATTCATTACTACTTGAAATGAACGTTTTACTTAAAACTGCTGCCTATTTCTAGTGTTATGTCTTTTTATTGTAATCAAATGAATAAAGTAATATTTTTTGTTATAAAAACCAATAAATTTGCAATATTTTGAATTAAGCAGGCGACCCGTGACTTTCTGTGAGGACTGTGTGTCAGAAAGCAGGGACACCATCGCCCCCTACAGGCAAGCAGCAGTCCCCAGTGTGCTCCCAGGGGCTTCCTGAAGGCTAGAGAGACATCACCAGGTGGAGTACACAAGGCATGACATCAAACAGGCAGGGGGGGGCAGCGGCTGCCGGGACCGGGCCAGGGGTCCGGCCGAGGACGGGTCTTCATTGCAGGAGGTTATGCTCATGGTGTTAGTGTCCTAATGGAGTGCAGGTTCCCCTGCAGGAGCCCAGCAGTGTCCGGACACTAGTCTGTAAGTCCAGGTGAATCCTTGTGCCAACGTGTTTGTTTTGCTGGGGGGCGGGGTGGGGGGGGGGCAGGGGAGGCTCACTTGGAGTCCTGCAGTGGCTGCTTGGGTCCGTCACCCCCTTTCGTGTCCTGCTCGTCGTCGTCCTTGAAGAAGAGTAAGGGGAACATCCCCAGCACACAGCCAATACCGACCCCTATGGCTTTTCCCTGGGGGGGGGAGGGCACAGAAGAGGGAGGGAGGGGTCAGTCTAGGTGACCCGAGCACAGGTATCTGTGACTAACTTCCTCTGAGCCAATCACCAAGAGACAACAGAGGTCAGCTCAATACTGGAGATGTCACAGGTAATGATATCAGCGTTAAGGATAATCTGTCCGCATTCCCCTCTACCCTCCCCCCAGCCCGTCCATCGTAAAGGTGCACAACGGCACCGGGCTTCTCGAACCCGCAGCCGGATGGGTCTGGCTCATCCCAAACAGAGCTGTGCAATCATGCGCACGGCGAGCGAGAGCCCAGGCAGAGGCAGACAGGACAGCCATCTTTTTCAGTCAGATTTACGTACATGAGCTTCTGCTTATTCATTATTACTGCCTCAGCACACGGGAAATGAGAAACGCCTCAAACACCCGCAACCAATTTTGTCACTTGGTGGATTCTAATTGGATAATTAACGTGTGAGAACCTCGGGAATCCGATAGCTGACGACGGGCATGAGGTATGTAAATTACAGGCTACACTCCGAGGGGGGGGAGGCTCTGGCGTTCTGCTGCACAGTGCCACGATGCCATCAATCCGCCCGGCAGCGGCCCTGCTGCACGGAGCCACTTACCGCGTGCGAGCTGACCCTGGTCTGCCACATGTCCGCCTGCTTGGGCGACAGGTCGGGGATCTGCATGCCCAGTCGGCTGGCCAAGGCCTCTACGTACCCGGCGAGGCTGGAAGGGCGGGGCAGAGGGAGGACACAGCTCACACACCAACTCAGGCATGCACACAGATACACACACATAGTGGTAAATAAGCAGAGCAGGGAGGCCGGCTGTCTCTGGCAACCCAGAGTCATGGCGATGAGGGACAGACGCCCCAGCCGACAGGAGGCACTGCAGGGGCACGGCCGAGCAGACCGCGGGTGCAGTGGAGGCGCAGATGGCCCGCATTTCCCATAATGCCCTTTTCCGTTTCACAGGCAATTGGACAAGCCTGGCAGGTACCACAGTCGTCTCATAACGGCACACGGTTCTATCCTCACATGGGCGGCGCCTGGGGGAAAGTGCTCCACTCGCTGCAGCTGGGCTGGAAGGTTCCTGCTGACGTCACACCTCCCTGAAGGTCATTCAGAGCCCGTGGAAAGATTTGGAGAAACCCAGGACACCAAATGTTTGCAGCAGCGTATAAATGTGTAACACTGGAAATTATATCAGTCGTTGCCAGAAGAATAAAAAGGACGGAAATGTTAACAGTGAACAGAAAGCGATAAAAAAAAAATAAATAAAATGAAATAAAACATCAAACAAAAGCACGAACGCGGTCAGAAACACGACCTCAGTCAGACAGTACAGAGAGGAAATGACACCCCAGGGATAAACAGGAGAAATCATGCACTTCACAAGCGTCCTGAGGAGTATCACTTTACAGCATTAGAGCCTGTCGATATCTGTGAGGAAAGATGGAGCTCCGTTCAAGGCGAGACCAGACTCCATATCAGTCACACGGCACCTTCTGCTGAAGAAGCACCTTAACGGGTAAAGACAATGACACTTTGGGGTGGGAGGTATGTGGGGGGGGGGGGTAATGGCTTTGGTAATGGAATCCGTTCAGAGATGTACATCTGGCAGAATTAACATCGCTCACAGCTCCAGTCCTGTGCAATAAGTCGGGCCGGGGAGACAGAGACAACCTCGCATTCCCTCCCCTAACACACGGGAAATCACGCAGCTGTTCCCCCATTAGAGTAATGAAGCAGGCCAGAGGCACTCTGTCTGTGAGGAAGGAGTTTATTTACAGATGATGTTCTCTGATGCAGATGGTGTGAGTTAGCAGCCTTTTTCACAGAGTCAAAGGCAATAAGCGAAGTTTGATCATGGCCAGTCAGAGATCGGGACCCAGAATATGACGATGAGCGTTGTGGTTTCATGACCGTCCTGCCCTGCTTGCTGCCAGCGTATCTGCATGGTGCAGCACCTCGCCATTTGGTCACCGTGGGAGGCGAGGACTGGTTAGCTTCCTAATTATCGTAACTATCACTGGCTTGATTACAGGAGGTCAGACAAGCTGCGATATTCGTGTTACAAAGTAATATAACAAGAAGTAATATAACCAAGTAATATAAGGGAAGCCCGCAGTGCCCAGGACGTGCCGGCATGTTTGCTTACCCGAGTCCGGCCAGATCTGACACCAGGTTCCCCAAGGCTGCGGCTGAAACGACAGAGACAGACACGGGTGCGTAAGACCGAGCAACGTAGCCGTACCCTCTGGGAGCTTTGGGGGGGCATCGGACAAAGGGCTGTTTTAGGCGATAGTCAAAGACAGAAATTCAGATGAGATACACAACTACCTTCAGTGAAACAAGGACACACAAAGCTGGAATCCGCTAGGAATAAAAAAAACCTGTTTACTGGCTGGTGAAATTACACGCAACGACCATCCCTGTCTCTCTCTGGGTAACATGGTGAATTAATCATGACTTCCTAATGACTTCCTGTTCTAATTTGGTTACTTGCAGCTTAAACCTAATTGAGGTAAAGAAGGAAATGCATCATGTGGGTTTATACTTAGCCAGTCATGGGATTTGAACCCACAACCTTCCAGACACAGATGAAGGAAATGCATTATGGGGATTTATACTTGGCTCACCACGGCATTTGAACCCACAACCTTCCAAACACAGATGAAGGAAATGCATTATGGGGGTTTATACTTAGCCAACCATGGGATTTGAACCCACAACCTTACAGACACAGATGAAGGAAATTCATTATGGGGGTTTATACTTAGCCCACCAAGGGATTCGAACCAACAACCTTCCAGACACCGATAATGGAAATGCATCATGGGGGTTTACACTTAGCCAGCCATGGGATTTGAACCCACAACAAGCCACACACTAGGCCAAACAGACAAAAACTGTGTCACATACAGTCACATACAGCTAACCGAAAAGTTAGTTTCGATAACTGCTAATCTGCTAACTCCAAAGCTTAATTGAAGAACACTAAACCAATAAACCACTAAAAAAATGTAGCGGAAGCTAACGATAACTGCTAGCCGCTAACTTTATTACATGAATTCAGCTTTAGTATGGCTTTGGGTTCTGAAACCCTTAAACATACCAAGATAGTTGAGATTCTACCCTGTTTAGTAATTTATTTCCAAAGGGCTGGAGTGATTACCTGGGGATATTAAGGATTTACCCACCTGGGAAGCGTAGGATTCTGTAGAGTCTCTGGAATAAATGTTCTTTTAATGATATTCCGTTTGCGAGACTTAAGCATTTTTGTCAGAGGAGCCCTATTCCGCCACTGGCTCATGCTGACATTTTGCCCTCAGTGAAGCCACTTGGGGACTAAAAACATAGCGCCGTTTACCTGGAACTAGGAAGGAGGGTCTCAACTCCTTTTTGGTCTATCAGTCATCTAGCTCTGTCAATCAGAGCCAGGAAAATAACCAGGGGCCAAAGCAAGATATCTTGCTTAGCTGGAATAACTTGTCCATTTAAACTAGGGTACCTGAAATCCGACATGTTATGCAACTAAACAAGAAACCCAGCTTTGAAATACCCCAGTTCTCCGCCTAGTTCAGGGTGTCCCAGGTCAATATATATATTCATAGCTAGAACAGCACAAGGAGCTGCGAGTCATGCTACGGGGACCGGGGTCTGATCATCACGCCTTTCATCAGGAAGAAGGCCGCGCTGCATCGAGACGATTTAACAAGGCGACGCGTGTCCTTCACCTCAAGAGGAGTTATGAGTGTCAGGCAGCCGGACCATGAATCACAGAGCTGCTAGATGACAGGTGCTGAGCCAGTCCATCCGTCTGCCTGGGCAGTAATTCACTTATAGGGAAATGAGCTCAGAAAAGCAGGTATCTACCACTGGCACAGACACACGCATGCACACACGCATGCACACACGCAAGCACACACGCAAGCACACAGGAACATGTTCCTATCCCAACAATGACGACATTAATTCCTACCCAGCCCTAACCTCGATTAATCCAGCCAATTCTCTCAAAAACTCTCAAAAAAAGCTGTCTCTGCAACTACAGGCACCCGTGCATCAGCCACAACAGACAGGACGCATTCACCAGCGCAGTTAAAATTTACACATGCCTACTTGGATTTACAACCTGAACACTGATTAGCAGAGCTGGCACGACATATCATACTCAATTAAAAAATATACGCTGCTTTACAAAGGGCTCTTTGCATCTACATAAACGCATTAATGATGGAATTACAGCGGTTTCTGATGGAGCACCTGCTCGTCAGAGAACCCCGCGGGGGTATCCGGAGATGAGATAAACTAACGTGCCCTCCAACCCCCCCAGCTGGTGCCAGCGGGCAGCAGCACCACACAGTACATGTGCACGCACCTGGTCTACAGGCCCCACCCCCCCAGATCCCAGCAGTTGCACCCAGGAAACGTCACATGGACACAGAAGTGTCTCTGCACCTGCTCAACTGTCAGGTTCTCCCACATTTCAACCTCCTGGAATTTCACTGTAGCTGAAACTACAGCAGACTGCAGGCAGTAGGTAAGACAGCCCACATGGTGTCAGGGGTCCTTCAGGGTCCTTAGTTCACCTATTGCATCACACTCCTCTAACAGAGGGGCTCCGCTTACCGTCTGTCACCCAGAAGCCTAAGGCTATTACTATGACTAGCATACATCATGTTCTGTCTTCTTGTAATACGTCTCAGGTGTAGCCCACGCAACGACTGCTGTCATTGTGATGCTACGGTCTTTAAACGATGTGCCCTGTAAACATTTATTTACCATTTACATTAATTATTTAGCAGATGCTTTTAGCCAAAGCAACGCACAGTTGAGAAAGCAGAGTCAGACAGTCTCTGGAGCAATTGGGGATTAAGGGCCTGGCTCAAGGGCCCAACGGTGACGTCACTCTGCCTGGGATTTGAACCAACAACCTTCTGGCTACAACAGAGCCAGAATGCGACCCACTGAGCCCCAGACCACCCCCCTTATCAAACTGCACTGGAATGACTGTGGCTTCATCACTGGTCACCTATTCTTCCTCAGAGGACAGCTCGGCCAATCAGCTTGCAAGAAAACACTGCAACACTGTTGACAGAACCTGGAGGTTAATGACTAAAGCAGGGGTGGGCAAACTGATCCGCAAAGGGCCAGTGTGTGCAGGTTTTTGGGTCAGCTGTTCAAACCCAGGTGTGAGGACTTCAGCCAATCAGTCCGTAATTAGTAATCAAATTGGGACACTGCAGCAAAATGCCACATACCCAACAGCCCTCTCTGAATAAGACTGGGGTTGTGTTACTAACCACTACAGCATCTGCTGGAATTGGGCAAAATGTGTCTCAAACAATCATGTGGGAAGGGAAAAAAAGACGATGAGAAAGAGCACAGATTTACATACCTGCCATAGTGGAGATCCCCAAAATGACCCCTATGGACAGCTCAATCTGCGTCCCCTGTAAACGGAAACAACGTTCACTCAGCCTTTGATTAACAGACTTGCAGAGCAGCTAAGGCATCATCTCTGCCCACTCACAGGCCAGAATAATATGCAGATGGATAATCTGTTACCATCAGGCCTGAATAATCGATAATGGAACAGTAGCATGAGATCTCAGAACAGTGATCAATAAAGGAAACGCTTCATTTCAAACGCAATGGTATTATGATGACTGAAAACATTTCAAGAATAATTAACAATGAAATAAAACAGCGACAACTACAACATATCGGCAAAGTACTTTTAATTACAGACTTAAAGTGCAGCTTATAAACTTACAGCCACGATCATGATGGCGTTGTCCAGAAACCCAAATCCAACGAAGGGGATGGCGTTGTGCAGGAGTACTGGGAACGCAAAGGGTTAAACAGACGACAGGCACAGTTAGCGACGCTCTGCCAGAGACGCGTCTGACAAGAAGATTCCGGAAGGTGGCCTGATGAATCTGTCACCGCCGTCAACCCGAATCTCCTCAGAGCTTCTATAGCATCTCGAAACGTCCGTAACTCCAGCTTTGCCAGGTTGTAATGAAATAAAATGTTCCTGTGCCAGAAAATATCTAATAAATCTACAGCGACCTGGACAAACCGAATCAATGGGCCAGTTCCTTCATTCAGGGTGAACAACAACTGGGCATGAGCCAATAAAACGTAACTGGCAGATAGCTGAACATTCGGGGGAAAATAGAGCATCAACAAACGCAATAAATTTTGCCACCAGAATATTTCAGCCGAGTTCATTTCATTTTTACTTAGCACCCTTCCTGACCTATGAATGCACACGGCAATAGAAAAATCCAGAAGGCAGCTGAGGACAAGAACCATGCAGGTTCTCAGGCAGCATATCAGGCGTGCATGCCGAACACCTGGATCTGCGAACCCCTGCATGGAAGCAGGTAGAACATCACACATAAGCTATAAAAAAAACTGAGCAGCGGAGATAGATTATGGCCATTTTATGAAGTACAGTACGGCAGAACACCAAGAGTGTCGAGATGCTGGACCTGGCGCACAAATGGAAGTCGGCTCGCAGATGTTAGCTGCCAATTGCATTAGCTTTAGCATTAGCAGCAAGAGCATCTGCGTAATGCTGCCTGAGAGGCGGATTTCCCAGAAGAAAACGTCTTAGGAGATCGGGCACTCTTACCGTATCTCAGCTGAGCTGCTGTTGGAGGGGCCATTTCCAGTTTCTCTGAAAGAAAAAAAAGGGGGGGGGGGGGGAGTGATGCAAATGAATTACAGGCCTTCTTGAGCATGACAGGAGGGCAGGAGATACGGGCCCGACTGAAGCCGGCTTGAGACTTCGAGGGAGCGGAGTCAGAGCGGGACAGGCGGTGGTGGAGTCCTGCCGGGCCGCAGATAAACCCTCCCCGCTGTCTGAGACCAGCCCAGCACCCAGGAGATCATTCCCTGGGCCATCTGCTTACGTCAGCGCTATCAGACTTATTCAGCAAGACCTTCAAGTGACTCGGGGAAAGTTCAAACTGGAGAATGGGCTTGTCGACACTGGGAGAACCATAAAGAACCTGGCAGAGTGCTTGTTACCTTCAGTAAAGAACAATAAAAAATAGAGAACCATAAAGAAGAGAGAAGCTGGCAGAGCGCTTCTTACCTTCAAGAAAGAATCATAAAGAATAGAGAACCATAATGAACAGAGAACCTGACAGAACACTTGTTACCTTCAATAAAGAACCATAAAGAATAGAGAACCATAAAGAATAGAGAACCATAAAGAGAGAACCTGGCAGAGCACTTGTTACCTTCAAACAATGGAGAGAACCATCCACCATGAAACCCAGAAAATCCCTTGAAGCCATTCCATTATTTACCAGTGCTGTTTTTGTCGTTTTTAATGATAATTTATCATAATTTTCACAGAATACTTTCAGATAAGGCTCCTTTCACAGGAGGCGCTCCTATGGGAGTTAACCCCACAACCCCGCTGGATGGGAGAATGAACTTTTTCATACATTTATTATTCTGTGATTTATTATGCTTGGGGTCAATAAACTCAGTCGGGAGTCCTGGAACAACTGCAGTTAAGGGCCGCGCTCAAGGGCCCAACAGGGAAATGAATACACTCTTCCAGGTAGGGGATTTGAAACTGCTGAGCAAGAAAATTTCACTGGCCAATGCCTCACTGACTAAAAACTGAATGAAGGTACAACACACACACCGAGTGTAATCGTAAACTTATTCACATATGGCTGCACATTTGAAGATCAGTCTGCCGGATCACGACCTCCCTCATCATGGCGTTTTGTTTAATCTCTGGAGGTATATGTAGTGTCCAGAGTGTGACTACACAGTCAGATTAATGACGGCCAGAGGCCTCACCGCTAACGCCGGTGGCACCTAAGTTCTCTCTCCAGGCAGGTCTGGGCCAGGGAGGTGCAGATGCAGTTTAGATGCAGTCCTTTTGTAGACCATGACTGCTATGCTGCTATGCATTCTGGGAATGTATCCAGGTCAAAGCTAGAAATTTATACTGGACAACTGCCCTGGGAAACAAACTGAGAGCTGGAACTAGCATACCACGGTGTGATAATCGGTGCCTGAAAGCACGGTCAGTCACGGTCGACCGTGGTAAAAGGGGGGGTCACATGACAGCAGATGCCGTCAGCTCAGAGGTGCAGCCGCATGCATCTCCACGCCCATCAGGAGGTACACAGAAGGTTCGAGGACGAGCCGGTTAAAGACCCGGGAGCTAAACTGATCAGGCAGGGGAGATGCCGTAAACAGCAGTCAGAAGGGACGGGGGTACGGGGCTGGGAATCCGGTCTCCATGACGACAGGCCAGCAGGAGCGAGGTGGTGCTGGCCGCAGTCCAGCTTCTGTCTGAGCGTACGGGAGCCGGGGAGGGCTGACCCCACGGTCGATATCCCTGAGGGGAAATACGAGCAGAGACGCTGGGGGGCCGAGACAGACTGGCCAGCTCCTACGGGCCCCACTGCCATTCAGAACATATGGCTCTTAACACTAATATAGGCAATTAGTATTTGACTTGGACATTATTGGAAAAGGGGCTTAAAAAGAAGTCCTTGTTAATGCTCATCTCACCACGGTGTGCTAGGGGGCGCTATTGGGGGCCTTTTCTATCTGCTGCCATTGTTATAGTACGACGTTACCCCCCCCCCATACTCGCAACCATGACATGCATGGAAAGACAGATAGACACCATAGATTACCACATATTATGATGCCTATCTCATGTATGCATTTCTTTATGCATTTTTACAGAACCTTTTTCGCACATCAATTCTTCTGTCCGTCTTCTGTCCGCCTGACGGAATCGCATCTTGTAAAGGGCATTTTTGAGAAGCATTCTGGCAAATCTGGCTTCCCCTCCAGCAGTGAAGTGTGATTTCAATCCAGCCAACACATGCAGACTGGATTTCGAAAACACTTTCAGCCCCGCGCCCCCTAAGGCAGTAACACAGGCCGCGGAGTATCCCCACCCCCCCAGCGTACGATCCATCCCTGTCTTCCAAGAACCCCTATGATAGTTTAAGTCTGGAACGCATGAGGAGAATTATGAAAAGCATGAGCACCTTCTGGAATGTTCTCCTCCCTCAGCTGTCACGGAGGATGATCTCAAAACTCCCGAACTTCCAAAGGTGGGTGAGTGTGTGTGAAGTGGAGTGTTTACACAGGAAGGGGATCATCTAAGGTCTGGATCGAGTTGGGTTTGCGGCACTGCTAACAATCACTGCTATTACAGCTGAGCGTTATGACGTCTTAAGGTGCTGCACAACATAGGCTTTTAGGGCCACCGGGAGCTCCGCCTTCTCCGCTCGCCCCATGTCTCCGCCTCCTTCATAGTCTCCATATTGGCGCTAAGCAAAACATCAACACCAACTTTGTGATCATGAAGCATCTTGTTCGGGCTAGAAGGGGCACGTAAGGTGACGATCAAGGGGGTCGCTAGTAGGGTTGGGTATTGCCAGCAACCTCGCGATACGATACGGGGCAACGATACGATACGTATCACGATACAAACACCACCTGCATTTACAAAAAAACACCTAGGATTAATATATCTCATTATATAAGTTAAAGTTTTTCTCTAACAGTTTTTATTTGGAGAACCCCTAACCTCCGTTAAAATGGTTTATTCTAGACTCCCGCTCCGGCTTGCAGACGCTCATTTCCAAACCCGCAAGTAACGCACTTAAATTACCATATTAGTAAAAATGAATAACAGTAAAATGGAAAGATATACATTTCACTTCATATATTGTAAGTATAACAGCAATAGTTTACGGGAAAAATGAACTGTACACAGCATGACCACTGAATCGCCTTATAAGGCGACGTGACGCCACACCTCTGACCCCGATGTACCCGCCCCCCCCCCAATGTTAATATCAAACCTATGCTCCTAGCTGGCACCCTGCAGCTGCACTGCGCACTGCACTTTCACAACTGCCGTTGCACCACTGCAACACGTCTGTATCGATGCGTGTATTGTCTAAGAGTTTGTCACAATATTTTGCCGTATTGACTTTTTGAGTATCGACCTAGTCGCTAGTAAACCAAAGGTACGCGCTTACAGCCCAGGACAGACCCCCCCCCCCCCACTGTGTCACAGATCGTGCATCACTGCCATCAATTAGCAATCCAGGGCGTAACTTCTTTAATGAGTCGGCAGCCAGGTTCAGTCGAGCTGCGGGGCCACACTGATGGATGCAGACAGACGGGGGTCGATGCCCCCAGCCCTCCCCAGTGGGTATCGGCTCTGCCTATCCAGCTTCACGGGGTGGGAGGCTCCATCCTTTCATCCATTCTTTCACTATCTGTGTCTGATTTCATGTATTAAAAAAAAAAAAAAACACAGATCAGCGTCACAGTTTTCAGACCATCCAGCAATCGGGGGTCATTCGGCAGGTATTAAAATTGACAGCGAAGGTTTCTGCCGGCTTCAAGAGAGGTGACCTTCTGCTCTCAGCATCCAACCGCAACCCCGCCTCGGATTCTGGTCTGTTAAATCCGCAAAAGGGCGGGGACACGGCTTTGGCACCATGGAAACGCCCAGTGCACCAGTCACACCTCCCAGCAACAGCGGCGAACACGACTCCATCCGGGCAAAGGTCCCCCAGTGTTAGTCATGCCCAGCTAGACATGAACGTCTTGTGAAATCCAACACAGCCACGTTTGAGGTGGCCAACAGCGTCCCCTGCACTGTGCTACACCCACAGAAGGTGTCCTTTCTGGCGTCAGCTCAACGTCCGAAAAGTTTCTACATACAGATGAAGACCAGCCTGCGGGGGCAGCGAGGAGCTCAGCGACATCCACAGCATTCCAGTCGATTAGAGCAGAGCTTTATCAAACATCTCACCGGGAAGGGGGGGGGGTCACTCAGAGGCTCAGGTCTAAATTTAAACAGGGAGCTGCAAAGCCAATCGCTTATTCCCTGCCTGCCCCCACGCCCCCACGCCCCCCGAGGAGGACTCTCCTGGCATTAAATGAATCTTCCTCATGTAAACAGTGTGGAAGGCTGTCTCTTCAATCCACGGACTGAACGATGAGAAATGTCCGAACTCTTTAAACGCCACGGCACCTGCACAGTCTTGCATAAGACAGCAGCCACAAAACTGGGAAGCAACAGGGCAACAGATGCTGTTATTTCACACATCGCGTGCAGTATGACCTTCTGCACCCTCCAGCATGCAGAGTGACACAACGCAGCCATGTCAAGATGGCTATTAGCTAGCCAAATGCTAACAGATCTGACGCATCATCGTGTAAGGCACACAGACGCACTGAAAGAACAGCCGTCCATCTAACGAGACAAAGCCATGTCGGGACGAATGTTTGCTAGCCAAATGTTAAGAGATCTCACACATCACCGTGGAGCTAAGAGATCTCACAAATCACAGTGGAGCTAAGAGATCTCACACATCTCCGTGGAGCTAAGAGATCTCACACATCACCGTGGAGCTAAGAGATCTCACACATCTCCGTGGAGCTAAGAGATCTCACACATCACCGTGGAGCTAAGAGATCTCACACATCACCGTGGAGCTAAGAGATCTCACACATCACCGTGGAGCTAAGAGATCTCACACATCACCGTGAAAGGCCGGGTTTCTCAACCCAGCCCTCGAGGAGCCATGTTTTTACTCCCGTAGCAGCTTGAAGGGAGCAAAAATGTGGACTGTCTTGGCAGAAGCCACACTGATGTAGGGGCAT